TATTTTTATATCTATTAAGCACAGAATCAACATTTTTGAACCGGTCAGATAGCTTGGATTTTATTTTTAATAGCTCGAAAATTTTCAATAATCTAGCAATAATTTACAATCGAATACGCAGTTCTCTAACGCTTTCCAGATTTTCACAGCAATTAAAATGGAAATGACACAAGTTACACTTACGCGCATAGGTATCTTGAGATGCAACGATTGCAGACCTGCACTGCAACGCGAGAGCCCATCTTTTGAAACTATCTTTTAATGCGATTGATTCCCCTAAATCCCTCTTGGAATTTTCAAAAAATAATGATTGAAAAACCGAGGCCTACGACAATCTTCTAAATCAAATCAATCAATAAAATAAAATAGAATTCAGTAGATAAAGCAGATAGAAGTTCATATCAGAGTAGAATCAAAATAGCATTATATTCAATCGTCAATGGCAAATAATTAAAGTAAACTATCATTCGTTCATTTCAAGTTCATAATACAAACGATTGTTCTAAATGATTCTTCGAGTAATATCATCAATTCAGGCATCCCTCAGATTTTAAGCAATACTCAAAATCATTCGGTTTAGATTTTAACAATATCCTAATATATATTATTGTTAATACATATGATACTATTGTTAATATTTTTAAAAATATTATATTTAATTTTTCTAAGTTATCAGTATTATTAGTATTATAAAAATTATATTAAAGTATAAAAATTAAAATAAAAAAGAAAAGAAATAGTGAATTAAAGGATACAAAGTTTGCTAATTTCACTAATCTTATTTTAAAAATAAAAAGTAAAAATAAATCAAATTATTGCAAAAATGTATAGACGATTATTCTTTCCGATATTATTATATAATATTATTGAATAATAATTATCAATTAAATCAATTTATCAATGAACTTCACCGATTTCAATGACCATAAAATATAATTTTTTCTTTTATATCTAATCAATAATCGATCTTAGTTTTCGAATTATTTTAAAAGAGTTTTTACTATATTGAATTCTGCTTAATACGTGATGCGTTCGTGATAGCAATATGTAACAATTGTGCCATTTATTAACTATAAATATAAACATTAGAACGGTTGATTATGTAAACGTTTTTGTTTTATCAAAAATCTACTATTTTATTTTCTAACAGAACTTTTTTAAAATTTTTTTATAACATAAAAAAATGAGAATATATAATAGATAATATAACAGATATAATAATACTAAATATGAGGCTGATATCACATTATAGACTATTGATAGTTATATGTATGGGAAAAGTTAGTATTTAAAATATTGTTTTTGACAATATATTTCAAGATCATCAAATCAAAAATGTACTTTTTTTAAAATAATTATTAATATTATACATATATATATAAGTAAGATATATTTACAATATTTACAATATATCAAAACAAGTAGTTAATCATAGAACAAAAAAAAAGAAAAAATATAAAAATAAAAAAGGAAAATAAAAAAACTGACCTCGAAAGAAGCTTCCACGTTCTAAGGTGATAGAATTTAATACACCTTCATTGCAACCGGGCTGATTGCGACCTCCATTTGGAAAAAAATCGATATGAGCGACAGGATGAGTAATACCGAGTCCTAAATTGATAAAAGGATTGCAATCGGTGTGAATAGCCGTAACAAAAGTGGCATCCGTTGGATCAAGTCGCACCATTGTTGATGTATTGCTGAAATGCGGTTCAGCAGGATCAAGGCCTTCAAACAGAGATATAAAATAAAACATAAGAAATTTCATTAAATATTGTTAAATAATTTTCATTTTGTTTATTTGCTTTGTACTTTTGTTTACTGCTTTATTGTATTATAATTTTGTTGTTTTCGGAAAAAGAATGTAAAGATCAATTTAACATGTAATAGAATATATATTTTAAAAGTTTAAATTACAATTCTAAATATAACTTTCAAGAAAATAATACGATTTATTTCTATAACTCTGAGAATTTGAATAAGGTTTAGTATAAGATTAGGACGAAAGTTCTTTTAATATTTTCTAGAATTAATATATTGGCATAAAAAAAAAAAAGCAGGAAAGAATAAACTTTGATGAACTTTATCTATTGTGATCAAGAATAGAGTTTAATTATAAAAAATTCGCTAACTAAAAATTTTTTGAAAAAACATTTATAAATACATTGGCAGAATAATTAATCATTTAATAATTTTAAAATAATATTTTAAGATATAATATTCCATTTAAACTTTTAAAAGCATAATTATTTTCCAAATTATTCGTTTTTTTGAAAAGTGCTTTAAATAAAATTTATTTTATATTGAAAATATTTTGTTTCCTTTTCATCGACTTTAATCAATTTGAAATATGTTAAAAGCATTTTAAGCAATTTTTTTCTTTACACAATATTTTAATTATTTCCAAAATGAAAATTTTTATACTTATTTTGTCTTATAAGAAAATTCATGTATCTTGAAAAGTTTGATTTTACTGAAAATTTGTATACATATAAATCATAATAAATATTTATACATATTTTTTGAATATTTTATATTTTTTTAGAATATTTTTTTAAATGTTAAAATCAATTCTCAAATTTTTATCATTTTTTTATAATTATATATTTTTATATATATATTATTATATATTTTATATTTTTTTATAATTATAAATTTTTAGAAATATTTTTTATTATTAAATAAATAGACAACTAAAGTTTAAATATTTTAAAATTTTACTCTTTCTCTATTTGTATGAAGTTATATTTAAGAAACAAAAATAATATTGATATTTTAAAAGATAATTTGAAATAATTAATGATTCCATTAATAAAAGAATTGTTATATGTACATATATTTTGCATTATGGTTTATAATTCATATATTTAAAATATTTCATATAAAATTATTATTAATTTTAAGGTAACTTTCATTTTGTTCGCTTAAGGAACAATGAAAGTAATTTATTTATTTTTTTAAAAAGTTAAAATATTTTTATGACTGAAATCATATAATTCAAAAAAATTCTATATATTATTCATATTTTTTTCATCATATTTCTTTTTCATTGTTGAGCACTTTTAATAAATAATCAAGTCAATCAAAATATCAAAAGTATAAATAAATGTATATATATCATCATTTAAATTGCTAGCAAATCAATTCCATTCATAGCAAATTAATTGGTTTTTATTTTACTTAGCTGAATTGGCTGTGAATTTTCTCATTGTATTACATATATATTAACTAATGCTTGAGTTAACATCTGATCATACTATGATCGTATTTATTAATATGAATTAAATTTAAGAAACAAAAAAAAAAATTATGAAAAAAAAGTAATTACAATTAAAAGCAAAAATGAATTTATAATTTTTATATTGTTTATAATTTTCCGAAAAAATAAATTATTTTAAGAAATATCTCAAATTTATTTATTTCAAAATATTGAATTACTTAATTTTTGTATCACGTTTTAAAATATTTATTTCTAAAATATTTCGATTTATTACATAAATACTATATGTACTTCTTAAATGTTTTAAATGTATTAAGCATATTAAGTTAAAAAAATAATTAAATTTATTAAGTTAAAAATAGATTTAATAATATAGATTAAAAGAAATATTTTATCTTAATTGTTATAAGCGTACTTTATTTTTTTGAATCAGTCAAAATCTACTGAAAAAAATTCCCGTTAAATTGTCTTTATATTTCAAAATCAAATTTTTTTTATTATTGCATTGTATTTTATTCACCATAAGGATAAAAAATAATCAAAGAACATCATTTTCTTTTATATATATAAGCAATTTTTTCTATTTTATATATTGACACGATAATCAATTTTTCCGAATTATTTGTAAAAATTTTTTGGCTATTGAATTTCATCTGTATATATATAGAATCACGTGCGACTATACTATATATATATATATATAAAACATATTTGTATAAATACGGTATAATGAGTAAATAAATATCACCACACTTAATATCTATCCAGCTTGCAACAATTTATTTAATATTATTATAATAATGTTTAATAATAATAATAAAATTGCAAATTGAAATTAAGTTATAATTTCGAAAAATGATAATAATTATACTATTGTTAAAAGAAAATAACTTGTTTATTCGCATAAATTATACAGTTTTTCTTTTTTTTTTTTTTTTTGCATAGATTCGGAAGAAAATATTGAGAATTAATAAAAAGCGAAAATCTATTACTACACTAACATAGAAGAAAATAATAAATGTTTTACATTATTTTTATATTTTTCAATTGCTAACATGATAATATATGATAAAATTTTAGAAAAACAAACAATATTATCAACAACATAATACAAAATGCCAATATTCATAAAAATAAAGATAAAAATTCTTTCATAAGGCAATATTTTGCTTTATCAAATTTATATGATCAATTTGTATACAAACTTAATAGGATGGATCACGGTATTGATGTTTGATCTCATTGGTCACATAACAAGTTTAACATAAGCAGTTCGTGTAAGTAATTAAGAAAATATACATACATATATAAATATATATATAATAATATATGATAATAAATTAAATATAATAATATATATATATAATAATATAAATATATATAAATATATGTTAATAGGCATTGTCTATTAAATATCCGATGATTTCTTTTTAAATTTTTGATATTTAAAAATAATATAAAAATATTACAATATCAAAAATATGATTTAAAAATTAATTATTAAAAAATAACAATACAATATGATCAAAAATATTTGTCAATTTATTTTTATTATCTAAATATACGAATAATTTAAAAAAAAAGATAATTATAATTATAATTATAATTTTTCTTCGAAAATTTTATATAATGTTTTATATTTTATTTTTGCACTGCGTATATGAAATAATTCATAAATAAGTAGATTTTTAAGCAATCTACCCTTTATACATTTTGAAATGTACACATTATAGGAACAATAGATAAATAATGATCGCAAGTTTATGCACACACAATCATGGACGTATATATTGAAAAAAAATTCTAAAAAATAGCAATTTTGTTTTGTAAATATTTCGATTTTTATAATTAAAATCGAGAGACGATAATAAAAGAAAAATTATTGAAAACCTTATTCTTTACAATACATATTCTTAACATTATATATTCAAAAATCATTAAAATCGGTGAAGATTCTCCTATTTCTGATAATTATTATCAGATAATTATTATCAGATTCTAATTCTGAAATTATTAAAAAAAATTTTTTAAGATTCAATGAAATTAAAAAAATATTTTTCGATTTGTTTTTGAAAATTAAAATGTGTTTTGATTATTTTTTTATGAATAGAGAATAAAAAATATTTTATTTATTTTTAATTTTAATTTTACCAGTTTATTTTTTTTAATTTCATATTATTTTTAAAAAATTTTGTAAATTTATTTATTATTTATTATTAAGTTATTTATAAATTATTATTATATTATTATATATTATATATTATATATTATATATTATATAATAATATATT